TTACTCCAAGTGAACCTGGATCCTTTCAAAGGAAGCTCCACAAGGTGAAACCTGTTAATAAAGCTGTTGAATTCTTCCATAAGCTTTGCATCCCTAGGACAACCATTGAAATCGTCTTCAGACCTTACAAGGTTGAAATCTCCGAGAATGCAGAGGGCATCAAGATATTGTTGAAAGACAAATTCCAGTTCCCTCAGGAACTCTAGTTTTTCTTCCTTGGTTGCGGTTCGTAGACAATTAGGAAGTAGATGATCTCTTCAGTGTCTATGACCTTTAGCCGAGCCGCCAGGGAAAACTTGCCTTCCCAGACCGTAAGGATCTCATAGATGTTTGAGTCCCAATAAATTGAAATACCACCGCTAGCTCCAGTTGAGTCCTTGACAAACCAATCGACCCCTCTTCTCCCACTGATAGAAGCAATCAAACGTTGGTCGCAAGATTTTCATTTAATTTCCATGAAGCCAACAATGATTGGTTTCCATCTCTTCAACAGTCTCTTGATTTTTGCTCTTTTGTCCGGATTGCCTAAGCCTTGAACATTCCAGGCAATTGCAGTATGAATCATGAATCATGGGTGTCACAGCAAGATGAAGCTCCCTCAAAAGAAACCTATCTATTTAACCTAACCCCCATCGTTGTCTTTCAGATGAGCCGATCGAGTCCGGTTTCTAGGGGTTAAGGGAGGGCAATCATCAGTACCTAATCTGTGTATTTGCATTTCGAGTCTCGATCTCGCCTTCCTTTTCCTCTTCTTGTGAATTTCAGTGGCAATGTCTGCAATCTTCCTCTCAACTAGGGGTGCTGAATCAGAATCGCGGAGGCAAAGGATTCTGCAGAAATTCAGGCTTTGACAGACTAGCTCTTGGAGGCACTGTTGCATTGCCAACTATCCATATACTTGGGGTTGACTGGGTTGAAAGGGACGATGGTGAGGCAGGGGTTGGCCGGAGCCGAATCAGGGTCAGGAGAGGGCAAGGTGAGGGATGGGTTAAATTCAGATTAGGGGGGGGGGACTCAAAACAAGTGGGGTTGTCTCAGAAGGCGGGGGGAGGAAGGCTCATAGCAGAGAAGATCAGTTGGGTGAGGGCAAGGGGTGGTGAAGGTGTCAGGGGGAAGCCATTGGAGGAGATGGAGGGGGTGGAAGGGGTTGATAGGGTAATTTAGTGTGATTGGGGTTAGAATGAATCAGGGAGGAGGGAGAGCAGGGAATCCAAGACGAGTGAAAACGAAAAGGATATATATTTTTTTCCTGAGGGAGACGATGGGATTGGGCCTACTCGAAGGTTTAGGAGGCTAGAGGGTTAAAGGAGGCTGGGTTTGGGTTGAGAGTCTGCAGGTGGTGCGGAGATTAAGAGTTGGGCTCGAATCCATTAGCCTAATTGAGGAAGGCCACGAAAACGACCCGAATTTACGGAGCCATATGTGATTAATGCCCATTCTGATGTTACTCTTCTTGGGCCCCCGCTCAGATGTCTTAAATCATCTGCTAGTGGCACCTTGCCCAGTTTTTGAAGCTTTTGTTGAGTTCAAAAGGCAGACCCCTGTTTCGGTTGTCAAAGAATTCAACCGTCAGACACATGTCGAGGAAGGAACGTCTATCCTGGGATCCATCTTCTTACACCTCCAAGAAGAAACAAGACTTCTGTTCCTTTATGGTGTTGGTTCCCAACATCGTAGGAAGCTTTTATCTCACCGCTTTAGCATAGGACTTTCCTTGGGTAACCCAAGCATCATGAACGATTGACGGGCTCAGCGCTTTCTTGCTTCTCGTTTCGCGTAAGCCAGAGACGAACCCCTCCCATTTATCTGGAGCGAAGGGGATGGAGATATAGTATCTTGTCCCGTTTTCCAGGATCTCTGAGATTTTAAGGAAGTGACCTTTAGAACAGGCAAATCGTTCAATATGAATAGTGTGGTTGGACATTTTCCTTCGCCTCTTTGCTTCAAGATACCATCCTCTCCACGAGATTTCTTGAATGGTCTTGCTAAGCCAATCAGCTTGACCGAGATCCAAGAACACAGACCTCTTTCGGCGGCGGCTACCTTCCGTCGAATCTTCAGAAAATTCGATCTTGACGTTACATATTCCTCAATGCACACCGCAGTATTACAGATGGATGTCCTGAAAAATGCAGAACTCGATGACGCAGGTGAAGATCCTTGAATTTGTCCGCTTTTGAATCTCGAGGATTCGCCACTGACCTAAAAAAATGAAAGCGCTCGCCGGAAGAACCCCACGCTCCTTCGCTCACTCTCACTCTCTCACTTCCTCTCTCTTCTTCCTCTCTCATCATTTCTCTCGACAAGATCTTCTCTCCTAATCCTTGCAACTATCATATTTAATTGAACCATCATTGACAAAATACTTTGCATTAACCTCAGAGAACTCCGCCAAAGGTTACATAAGCGGATACATTACATTACGGATGGTGATCCAATCAGTCGACAACTGCTATTTTGCACACCATCGGGCGACCCAATTGGCTTGAATATTGCAAGCACGTCGCACGAAGGAAATCCCCACATTTGGGGCTCGCTGAAGGGGAGAAACGATGAAATCCAGACGTGCAGCAACAACCCACGTCCAATCCTTCCTTGGTCCTCTAATAGTGCCAACCAACGTTTAACAATAAGAATGGATCATGCATGGTTCATTGAGATCCAATGCCAACAAACATCCTTCTTGTAATGCCATTGCTTCCGCTTCCAAAACTGAATTGCAGAGTAGGGGGTCGCCCTTCCCGTCACAAACCTCACCATGATTGTTCGTAACGACAACGCCATATACCACGTCCTGGGTATCATGAAAAAACAATCCATAATAGTGAATCTCGAAATTGAGAATGCCTGACGGTGGTGGAGAGTTGGATGAGGGTGGAGTAGACCGGCTGGAAACACTGATACTCTCTTTCTTCTTTTTTGGGCAAGTTTTCCACTACTGAAGCTCTTGTAATTACTTCAAGCAGGTACGAGTGGGATAAGGATTGACATTTTTGAAGACCTTTTCATTCCGAGCTTTCCTCGTGTTCCAAAGATGGTATACCAATTTTAGGATAGTGTCCTAATGGCAAGACTTCCCAACCACCGAAAGCTAATCAATAATTGTCTAGGATGGGAGGAGAAGGGGGTGGGGGGGGGGGGGGGAGCAACCTGAGGAACCAGATGCATCAAGGACTCCCCAACATGGGCACATCCAAAGAGAACATGGTCCGTGGATTCCTCCATCTGGAAGTAGATAAGGCATTCTCGTGTTGGAGAGCAATGTCGGGAGAAAATGTTCTCTTTTGTCAATAAAGCTCCTCTAGATGCCTTCTAGAGGCAAAATTTTATCTTCAGTGGCAAGGAGAGGCTCCAAAGCCATTTCCATTTCTCATTATCCGCCCGGGGAACCTCTGAACTCTTAATGGTCTCAAAATGGTGGTTATCTTGGAAAGCATGGTAGGCAAAACTAACTGAGAATTCCTCCGTCGTTGTAAATCACCACACCCAGAAATCCTCCATCTACAAGGAGCCAATGGGGATCATGCCGATAGCTTGTGGGTCAACCATCGAAACCTGGCCACCAAACTCTCTAGAGATCCCACATCCTTTCGTCACGTCGTTGTAAATCGCCACACCCAAAAATTCTCCATCTACGAGGAGCCAATGGGGATCATGTTGATAGCCTGTTGGTCCACCATCGAAACCTGACCACCAAACCCCCGAGAGATCCCACATCCTTTTGTTATGATTGATTAAATCACAAACCATCCTTTGATCATTGACTGGTCCTATGATAGTCCCATCAGGCTTCTTCAGAATCCATGGATCGTTGAAGATTCGCGTGGTCCTTCCATAGTTCCATTTTCTATGACTCTGATCATACCTTGACCTATCTATTGCTAAACATCACAAATGCTTGCCCAGATCGAGGGGGCTCTACTTTCTTTACGAGCATCTCTAAAATCACATTAAGCGACATACAAACCCTTCAGAATCCTGGCCCACAGTGAATCAGGTGAGGATAGGATCCTCGAAGCTTGTTTCACAAGTTTTCAATATTTAGATGTGAACAACTCCTGAGACTACTCACAATGTGAGTGGGGGGAGAAGGGAAAAAGTGAAAGTAGTGAAAAATGGGTGGGAAAACTCTAAAAAAACGGACAAAAAGAGGAGGAAGAGAGGGTGGAGGGGGCGGTTCGGGACCACTAGGCGCGCAGCCCGGTTGGTTTATCTGTTTTTTTATGTTTTTTCTTTAATTAAATGATTTGGTTTTATTTTTGGTCCCCAACGGACAAAATTGCCTACCAACGGCCTTATTTTCCAACGATCATATGTTTATGTTTAATTATTAATGCAACAAATTTTTTATTAAGACACTCGAATATGTTCAAAACACAACAACAAAAATGCACAAATGACATACAATAATATTTAATTATTATGATTTGGTCATTGATGACGTCATATTTAATTAGTGGTAAAAAATTATGTCCAATTTTAAAAAATATATCGAAATTTTCATATTAATTAATTATTACTACCTATGTGAAAATAATGATCAAATTATCAAAATACAGTGACAAGATCAACTATAGATTGATTTTATAAAAAAAAATAACATACCAAATATCCTCTTTCCCTTCCCCCATTGTGGTCAAACTCTTCCCCTTCCCTATTTCCCCTCCCACATTGTGAGTGGTCTGAGGATCAAAAGCGTGCATTATTCCTTGTTATGGGCATTTGTTGTTCTTAGTTGATTCTTGAAGTTGTAGTAATCCAGTTGCATAGTGGATCTATCTTTTTAAAGTGACCAAAATTTTCAGGTAAGAAAAGAAGGGTGCATGAGAACCGGGCCAAGCACGAAGAGAAATCCTGAAGGAAAGCATATTTCTGAGTTAAGTGAACCCCGCACTACTAAAAATAGTAAGTCTTACTCTTATACATCAGCTTTCAATCCTTGTTTATTGGTTGGTTAGTTGATTATATACTTATATTTCGGATCCCACATAATCGTCATGGAAGCTTGTGGAGATGAGCAAAACAACCACAACAAACTTAGTAGCATATGAGGACAAGACACATGTCACTCTTCTTGCTCTCATTAGTGAGTGCAATAAAAGAGAGAGAAAAAAAAAACTTAGAGCTTTTCTCTCTCTCTCTTCCTCCTTTTTCTCCCAATATTTTTTTCTTCTTTGCTGAACCTAACACAACAGAGGGAGAGACAAAGATCTTGTAGCAAAACGAACCAAAAAGAAAGGAAAGAAAAGAAGAAGTAAGAAAAAGATGACAGCCGTTTCAGATAAGAAAGCATTTCCAGAGGCTAATGTAGACAAAGAGCTGAATCCTAGCCACAATAAAAGAGTTGAGGCTGATTCCACTTCCTCCAGCATTGCTGCCTCCCTTGCCAACAAGGTACTCTATTCTTGATCATTATCTTTTGACATTTCTCTTTACATGATCTTACTGCTATCGATCGTTGGATAACCGCAAAACGTTGGTTGTAATTTGCTTATGTAAATGTGGATTGCTTGACGTGAAAAATATCATATTTCAATTTGTTTTCTTGAACATATAATTGTTAGAACAAACAGTTATGGGGAAACCTTTTGGGTGTTGGCATGGCAGGAAAAAGAGGAGGCAGAAAAGAAGAAGGCGAGCGAGGATAAGAAGGATCGTGCGGATAGCTTGAAAACGACGGTCATAATCTCAGTGATCTTTGCTGCTGTTGCTGGTGCTGCATTTGGCATCGCCAAGAAATTGAGAGAGAGACAAACCTGAGAATGAGCCAAATATAAAGCCCAAAGAAAAATCACGGCCCATTGATTAGGCTGGTTAACTATATCTTTAACTTGTTTCTTGCTTTTGTTTTTCCTAAATTGAAGAGTTTTTTTTTATTTTATTTTGGATTTATTTCAACCCTTGCTTTCTGCAGAAGTTTGTCGTAGAGAAAACTGGAAAATCTTGCTACATTTTAGCTGCAACATCACCCTAGTTTGGAGTGGCATTAGTTGGATCATTATATTGAGACGCTTAACCAATGTCGTAATTAGGATGTGATAAATGTGTTTATCGTCCACACAGTCCACACAATCACGTAAGAGGTTTCATGTTATAATCAAGCGGTTTCTTTTTGGAATCAACTTGATCCACAATATTAACAATTAATTTAAGCATAAAACATAAGAATCTATGCAAATTTCAAGCTCATATGTTGATTTCGTTTGAAAAGATGTGTACAAGAATGATATAGATTTTTTCTATATTATATCATAATCACTCTCGTTATTAGAACTAACTAATTCTTGATAACTCGTTGGGGCTGAGACAGACTCAACTTAAAAAAGTAACTTGTTTCCCATTGTTTTGGGCTAGCATTCTTGTACGTCTTGCATGGTAAGTTACATTTGAAGATTTTTTTTTTGTGTTGAAGCATGAAAAGATTATTTGACGATTAATTTAGTGCACAAGATATTGTAGAGAAAGATAGTGCCAAAATTATATGTACATTTTACGCCATACAGTAGATGATACAATGAACATTCATTAGGTGATTTGAGAGGTCACTATTTAGAGGTGGCAATTTGAATCCAATTCAACCAATTCATTCATTAAAATGTTCAACTAATCCAAATTCAATTGGATTGATGATTTTATGAATACTTGGAAAATTATAAATGTCACCTGAATTCATTAATTCAATCCACCAATTCATGAATTTGATCTATTTGTCACCTCTACCTAAGTCCATGTAATCCCCTTCTTCTTGTCCACAACTTCCTAATCCTCAACATACTCCATACCATAAGTTGAGATGCTAGACATATACACTAAGTTTGTTTAGGGGCACAAATGAAAGGGTGTAAATTTTTGGGATGGTGGAACCCAAGACATTTGCATCTGTTTGGTTATTTTGCAACAATGGTTGGGATTGCATTAAAAGGGTAAAGTTTACTGTTTCACTTCCATCCCCCATTATTATCATTTTCATTTTTTTCTATCCAATTTATTGTCTTCTACGATTCTACCTTCTTTCTTCCCATTCAATTTATTACTAACCTTAAACGAGGTTAGAGTGTCTGTGTCTGAATGAGGTAGGAGTAATCTGCAAAATGATTCAAGATGCTATAAAGACTAATGAATCCAAAGCCTGGCTTCATAGCTTTCGAGAAGCCAATACCGTAGCCCACCAACTTGCCCACATTCCTCTATCTATTAATGATTGTAAGTGTTGGACTGCAGAGACTCCCTCTGAAGTTTTTGCTACTGTTTCCTTTGATTCAAGCAACTTGGCTAAGCAATAAATTACGGTGGCCTTACCCTGGTTTCAAAAAAAAATTATTTTTGTTCTCTTCCATCTCTCTTCCCCCATTCATTAGAAAAAATCGCTAAACCTAGATTTAGAAGCCATAGATTCTGATTCTGGACAATCCGTCTCGTCGACTTCAATCAACTGATGAGTTTTCTCATCCTCCATCTCCAATTGTTGCATCATACAAAAGTAGGATCGATCTACTATTCTTGTTGTGGTGCTCCACCATCTTGATCGTTTGGCTGCTGGGATCTCCATCTTCATTTGAACTTTGTCCAACTTGCCGCTACTCTTTGATTGAAGGTGAATGTGATTAAACCCCAAACTTTATCCATGATTGTTACTTACCATGAATCGCTGATTCCTTCCATCGTTTTTTGTCCGATGAATGTTCCATTTTTTATGAATCACCATTGTTGGTTGAACCGGACTAACCAAGTCAAACCGATTTTGGGTTGGATCGACCAACTGATTTGGGATATGACCGACCGAACCGATATTCTAATTCCATGAAGGGACACATCCCTTTGGCCTAATGGTGGTTGCATTCTTTTATGAATAAGGATTACCTTATGGATAAAGGCAACCTTTCGTATGGATAAAGGCAACCTTTCATGAAACAATGCATGGATTCAGCCCTATAAATATGTGTGTGGGGTGCATGATGCCACATAACATCAAACATATTCTTCTTCTTTCTTCCAAAAATTTCTAAGTATACTTTAGTGTTCTTGAGCCTGGAACCTAAAGTGGTGATAGTTTTATCCTCGGGAGAAATTTCCTGTAACCCAAGGCTTTGTAGAGGGTGGAAATATTCTTTTCGGAAAGTGAACGTTGTTCACGACTCTATCACAATCCTGGTCACCCGGTATCGGGCTATCGTACGTGTACCCTCGCCCCAATAAGTCCCAACAATCGAAAAGAATATTTTCCGGTATGATGGCTCGAACCGATCTTTACAAGATTCCGGGTTCCGGTCTATGGAATTATGAGAATGTTCGATGATGGGTTTTTCATCGATGGCAGTAGAAGATGGGTTTTCTTCGTACTTGTCTCATGGTCTATTTCATATCCGGAAGGTAACTTGGAAGAGGGATGATTCGAAGATGAGGAAGAAGGAGAATGATTCGTAAAATGGAGAAATAGAAGAATGAAAATTGCCTTTGGGTAGGTCACATACTCAATGGTTAATTAGTCTAATTCTCTATTCGACATTTACGAAGTTCTAGATAAACTTGGATTTGTCTAGTGGTTTAGTGGTGTGATTTTGTCTAGTTGTTTATGTTATTTTAAACCAAGGAGACAAAATTGTATATACAATATTTGATGATTCTAGTAATAGAGTCGTTGTGTTTGTATGTAGATGACATATTTATCTTTGGGACCAATCAAAGATAAGTGATTTTGTCAAGTGGTTTATGTTATTTTAAACCAAAGAGACAAAATGTGTACACAATTTATGATGATTATGGTAATGAAGTCATCATACATTTGTATGTATAAGATATGCTTATCTTTGGAACCAATAAAAGATAAGTGAACTTTGATAATAAAAAAAAATTGTTATTTCAATTCTCCATGTAGGACATGGGGTAGGCAAATGTGATTCTGTGTATTGAATCAAGCGGAACGACAAAGAAGAGTCCTTCTCTCAATTTTTCTGCATGAGAAGGTACTTGCATAAATTCCATAGTAGGAATTGTAGTGAGTTAAAGACCCCAATGGATCCAAGTATGAAACTTATGGTTAATTGATAGGGCAAAAGCGTATAGCTTCAATTCCTATCTCGTAGTAAACCGGAAAGTCCGGGTATCGTCTCTCAGGGACTGGTACAACCTTATATTCTATCAAATTTATGAGCAAATTATAAGTGAAAATGGTTTGAGATATAAACTAATTTCTAAAAGCAAAATAAACTAAACAAATTAAGCGAGTGAAAACTGTCGGGTTTAATTCAATGGGAGAAAGCTCTGGGAGAAACACCAGGATTCACTACCTATCCTATCCAGATTAATTCACATGTTCCAATCAATTTAATCCATATCTCTACAGCCAGGATATCTCTGCGGTGCTAGCTATCCCTGTCGGGAATTACTACGTACTAAGCAATTAATTCAAATCCTACTGTCGTAGCTCAATGAGTTAATTATTTAAGACCGATATCCTATTTAAGACCGCATAACACCTTATTTAATCCACTGTCGCTTCGATAAGTTACTATGTCACATGAAATAGGTTCAGTTATTAGGGTTTCACTGTCGCTAATAACCTAATTAACTACAAATCATTGTATTGGTGGCCAGTCAACACAAAGCATTAAGTAATTTCATGCAATAGAGATTGGAGGAAAAGAATCATAAATCAATCCATCAAATCAAGAAATAGCTACATCCTATGGTGTTTCCCCCAGAAATTGGGGTTTAGTTCATGATCATGGAGAACAAACTAACAAATAATTCTAGGTTTAACATCTTAGAATTCAAGAAATAAGAAAAAGAATTACGAATAAAGTAACTCTTTTCTCTAACCCTGATTCCCGATGATCGCCTGAAATTTAATTCCAAATCAGTACTCGACAAGCAAAGGGTTTCGCTTTGCGCGCTGCTACTGCTTCTCCGCTAATCGTCGTTTGCTTCCCTCTAGTTCGGTGCTGCCTGCTCGCGATCCGGCCAAGCGCTGCTGCTTCAATTCCCGGGCACACGATCGCCGCCCGCAATTAGTTCCGGTCCTAGCTTTGCTGCGCTTTTTCTTTTTTTCCCCCAATGAGATTTCCGCCCCAAACCAAAAAAGAGCCTCTAAGCTTCCGTCCAAAATCCCTACCAAAGTAATACCCTCCGCCCAAGACTTCTCTTTTTCTTTCTTTAATTATTCCTCCCCCAGCAATTATGTTTTCCGCCCAAAAAATTCCAAATCAGAGACTTTGGTCCGCCTCCATGCGCTGTCCCCAACTTCTTGTGGCCCACTCTAATTCTTTGGCCCAGGAAGGATCCTCCGTCCAAAATAATTGGTCCGACCCAAAAGAATACTCCACCAGTAATTCGAGTACGATTTATTGTTTGTGCATTCGCTCCTTTTTCGTGCTTTCTCCACCTGTAATATATCAAACTCATGGCACTAGGCAGTAATGGTTTTTCAACCATTCTCGGGTTAGGGAGCCCTAAAATAGCACCAATTGGCTAAAACATACCATGAATAATCACATAAAGTCCAAGAACCCGATATATTAAAGCCGAATATCACAACCCCACACTCAATTGTTGCTTGTCCCCAAGCAACGACTCAAAAGACACAAACACATAACCAACCATAACAATGACACAGTACAGACTCAACACTCAAAGCAAAACACCAAATTTCCTTGTACTCTTGTTGTAATCAGTAGTTTCTTTCTCAATGGACAAGTTGTGCTCTAATGGTCATACCTTTCACCCCACACTCAAGTTCTTTGCAACCATTACCATTGACTGACTCAAATCCATCAAAAACTCAAATAACAACACTCAATTTTGATCGTCAGTAGCGGGTGATTAACAACTTATGGTGCAGCAATTATTAGGAGACTCTAACCACATCAGTGAGGTGCATATCTCGTGAGGACAGTCTGGCTTACTCACACCAGTCATAAGCAATTAATTTAGCATGAGTCTCAAAAACTAATGGGGGAAGCCTTTCGCAAACATGATTTTAACTTTAAGCACATCACTACCTTTTATGACAAGGAGAGGCTTTCTCTCTTTCTGATTTTGCTTGCCGAGAGGTCGTATTTAGTACAAGTGGGATTTGTTTCTTACTACCGGTGACCGAGCAAGAGCAATTTCTGCTTCTTAGCACTCGCATAAGGGATTCTTTTAACTCCATATCCTCGGTCCGTGTGGAGGGTCA